TTTTTAGAATTTTTAAAATTTTCTACTGTATATTTTTTGAAAAGGGTATTTTCATAGTTATGGGATAAAGGAAAGCAACATGTGGGGTTGGATCCAAGAGCCCCACATGTGTGCCATACCTCATGGGTGGGCGTGGGGTTCATGGGGGCTCCCATGTCAGGGGTGGCACGCCCCCTTCCTTTTTCCATAAGTTTTTGTTAAAACATTATGTTTTAAGATAAGTTAGTTATAGATAATATTTTAAAAGTAAAGATTATGTGCCTATTTTTGTGGGAGCTAGTTTTGACCAAATTATATTATCTTTTGACTTCTACAATTTTAAAAGAGATATTAGGAAGTTCTAGAAGGTTTTAGATTGTTTTAATCCTAATTGGACTAAAAGTGGATATAGGTCAAATATTAGGATAACGTTCCTAATATTCCTCCCATCGTGATGGTTGAAAAGGGTTGGGTGGCTCAGGTTTTATTCTCTCTCACCTCAAAAATTTCTTAAATTCCTATTGGTCAAGGTGAGAGTCATTTGATAGGCATATACCTAAGGGAGGTCATGTGGCCTTTAAAAGGAGGTGAACCCCCCTTCTAATTCTCTACACAATTGAGTCTCTCTCACTCTATCTCCCCTCCACATCCCAAACAAGCCTCTATCTCTCTCTCATCTTTTGTTGTCTTTTTCTCTCTCCTCTCTCTCTAAGAGGGCACGCCACCCTTAAAGGGAACAATCTTAGGGTGGCATGCCATATGCAATAAAACCCTAGATAGGGTTTGGTGAGAGAGTGAGGCATGCCCAGCCCAAGAAAAGAGAGGTGCCTTTTGTGGCACGCCCTAATCTGTTCCTAAGGGTTCTAGTAAACCCCTAATTGCATTTTGATGCTCTCTAAACCCTAGATTGAGAGGTGCTGCCTAAACAAGCTTCTTGGCTCTGAAATTCCAGCAAGACCAATAGGACAAAAAGTGTGTCATCGGTCAGGAAATAGGGTGTGGGGTGTAGCAAGTCCTACGGGGGTCACCCTAGGCACAATCGAGTAAGTCTTGCTGTCATTTTTCAATCATATTTCCATGTTTATTGTGACTTTCTAAGAATATAATTTGTACTTAAATTGTTACTGGAAGATTGGTTTTTATTCCTGGATTGTGTATATTTGTTCTGGCAGTAAAAAATAAGTCTTGGGTTGTATTTAGGGTTTTAGTTTACATGTACAACAGCAAATTGTGGAACTTGTAAGTGGAATTCAGATTCAATAATGAAGGAAAGAAGAAAGTTTTTAATATATAGCATTTAATTCCACATAGCCACACCTTTCAATTGCCACTATCAAATTTGATCTTTATTAACACTAGAGCTGGACTGTTGAGCTTGAGAGGTAGTTATTGTCGAGTCTAGAATGTAAAGACCACCAACATCATGGCTGCTACCAATCACCTTCCCTGTACCCAGATCCTGAAAAATAAGATCGGGAGGAAAGAAGGTCACACTACAAATAAGACTCTTGGTTTGTGATTGATAGGCATTAAGTTTGTAGCGAAGCTGGAATATGAACAGCTGATGACAATGACATCTGAAGAGAAATATTTATAATTCCTTTTCCAGTTATAGAGGTTAAAGACCCATCAACTATCCTAAGTTTGTATGTAACAAAACAAAGAGAATGGGAAGAAAACAAGGAATATGCATTGGTCATGTGATCTGATGCTCTTGAATCAATAATCCGCGATTGTCTAGATGAAGTAGGGGAGACAGGATTAGCAGAAACATGAGGACCTAATAGTGTAAAGGATAAAGTAAAGGTTGCGGATGGGCATCTGATTGTGAGAACAATAGCGAAGACCTTCAATCTCCTTGTTAGGGATTAGTGCCATCTCTTTTGCAGTAAAAAGCAAAGATTGGATTGCATTTTGTATTGGCTGATCTCTACTAGTAGCAGCTGAATTCCCTACGAATGAAGCATTATGAGCATTAAACTGAGCTGGACGATTGAATGTAGCTGGCCATCAACTAGATCCAACATGTTTCTTTAAAAAGACCTTGAATAGTTGTCCAACTCCTCCCACATACTACAAAGTAATGAAAAATAGATTACAAGATACCTCTTTCACTGTTGAAGATGGGAAATTTCATACCTTGGTACACTAGAACCACATTCTTGCTTTGAGATTCGATGTACAGAATCCCAAATCTCACTCGGGGTTTGAAGAATAAAAAAAGCTCTACTAATCGATGGTTGCATCGAGTGTAATAACCGAGATATAAAAAGACAGATTTTCAATTCCAACTTCTCATTGGAAGGATATGTTTCATCAGGTTCATTAATCTTACCACAGATATACCCCAACTTGCCTCTTCCACGAATAAACATATTAGCAGTCTGTGACTACTCTAAATAATTTATCCCATCGATCTAGACAATAGTAATCTGCATTCCAGGGTTATCTCCATGGATATACCCATATGAGAAGTTACACTAGAGTACCAGTGAAGTTGGAAGAATAGCCTGAATCACTCGTACACATATTGACCACAAAACAGCCTAAAAAACACCAAAGAAAACACGTTGATCACAACAATCAGCCACTCAAAAACACTTTGAACAGGAACCCCAGATCATCCATACTAGAGATCATGAAAAAGACTTTAAGTTTCACAAATCACAAACAATGGTTCAATCCATTTAAAGAGTCCACAATAGACAACATCAAATCATACCAACCAGTCTAGGATTTCTGATCTCGCATCCAAACTCAACGAAGAAACCTTTTTTAAAAATAAATAAATAAATCTAAACTCAATGAAGCAACCGTTAAACTATGGTTTTTCATTTCATACCTTCTTTCAGATATAGGGATTCATACCTCCAATATTTTTTCCTTCAGCTCTAGCATTTCTGACCATATGGCTTTTAGAGACCTTCGCACGGCCAAATCACATCTTTACAGTTTCAAAAGAAACCTCTCGAAGCAACCTTGTTCTAATACCATGTTAAAAATATAGTAACAACCAAGGAAAGAAGAAGTGAAAAGAACAACAAATAAAAAGATATCAAAATCTTGGTTAGAAAGAAAGAGTAGGAGAGCCACTTTTGAAAGACCAGAGCAAGAGAGAGTCCTATGGAGTTCAAATTGACCTCCACAGACATCTCTATTATATTATATTGATTATAAATTTTAATTACATAAAAAAGTGCCCTTTAAGTGAAAAGAAGGATAAATTAAGTCCTCAAAGAATTGAACACAACTAAAAGAGAACTAGGAGCTTTCAATATTCACTTTCACAACATGAGTACTTAACTAGATCGTGCTATCTAATAGGGCACTCACAACATATCAACTTCAAAGTAATGTTGCCTAGTTCCTGAACCATGAAGAATCCAACACCCGCCTATTCCTACACTGTAGGGCTGCGTCCCCACTCTGGGCGGGCCTACTACAAACTTTCAGCTGGGAATGGATAATGCCAAGCACAGCGCAACAGCAGTCCCAGGCAATCTTCCTGCTACTGTATCCAGCCGATGGAAGATTCTTATGGAGATCTTGGGTTCTGGCAACAGTCTGGTCTACATGGGAAGGAAGGAATGCCAATATCTTTGAACGTAAAGAATCCACCCTTCTATCCATCCGTGACTGAATCACATCTACTATCATCTTGTGGGTGAGAGGCTACAAAGGCTTCATGGATTTTTGGCATGCGATTATGCCACAAAGTGGAGTGAAGTCCTTAACTTCAGTTCCTCAACGATCTCAAGATTGACCCTATGGTGACCACAGGACCATGGGCATATCCAGTCGAACATCGGCAGGTGCTCCATCGGAACCGCAGCCTAGCAAGTTTGGGGTGCATCCTAGGAGGCCACTAGGGGAATACCTTATTCTCTACCTCCAGACACATTGGCATTGTCGACTTGGCAATGGCTGAAACCATAGCCTTACTCAAGGACTGAAAAGGGTACGCCAAACTGGGAAAGCAAATAATTCCCTCATCATTGAAGATGACTCCAAGCCTCCAAGACTGTTATATTAGGCCTCTAAAAGAACCCCATGCCCCTCAAGATTAGTCCCCTATTTGATCACATCGTTTATCTTTCCAGGAACATCCGGGTCACCTTCACACACATCTTGCAGAAGGCCAACCAAGTGGCCAATTCCCTGGCCTAGAAGGGGGCAGCAGGTGGACCCCAGGGGTACTTAGTATAGTAGTAGTCTACTGTTTTTCTGCCACGATAGGATTATAAAGCCATTATTTTGTAATTTAGTAGATGTGCATCAGAATCTACCATTTCGGAAAGCTGAAGTTATCATATAGACCATTTTTTTTACTTCTTTAGTTATAAGAGCACCCAACCTGTGGAATGCATATGTTTGGTACACTGGAAAAGAAATAGTTTCTACATAATACAAGTCAAGTATTCTCCCACCCCGAAAAAAAAACACCACCCCCCGCCACCCCCCCCCCTACCACCACCCCAAATGAAAACAAAAATTGTAAAACATATAATTAACTTTTTCACCACACTGCAGACCATGACTTAAGGCCCGAGATGCCCAAATTTCGAAATATTCATAGAGAAGAATGGTAGATCTTGAAGAAAATTTTTAATTAGAGCTTCATATCATCCAAAAACTTAGGGCTTCGAGGAGCGGTATGCTTCAATAATGAAGCTGAAAATTGAAAAATTTAAAGCTAGATACCAAGCTTGAAATCATAGATTTACTTTCTGCTGACAGTACAGCAATCTATTGGAGTTAATCAAGCAGGCAGCTCAAGGACTACCAGTTTTTGCTAGTTTAAGAAGCACCAAGCAGAGATCATAAATTCAATATAACATAATTGTATGCAATAGCAAGGAATAACCAGTACTAACAGCCAAAAAATAGGGACAGGGAAGCTAAAAAGAAATAACATTAGAAGAAAGATTGCAAGAAATGACCAGTTAACAGTTAACAAAAATTAATTTTTATTCAATAATGTAAAAAAAATTCCATGGCAACTAATTTTTGAGAAAATGTACCGTGTTGCGTTTTGACATAGTTCTAGTAAGCTGAGCCGCTACACCAAAATCACCTGTTTGAGTATGCAACACAGAAGAAACGGCTAAAGTCAAAAAGCTGTCTTCATCATTATAAATAAATCCAAACGTTAGCATACAAGAATGATCCAGTAAACAATCAAATAAAAACAAAGACTTTGAAAAACAATTCACAGGAGCCACTCTCTCGGGTAGAGTAGTAGATTAATGTCAATTACACTGTGGATACGAATCCTCATGCACATGACCTTTGTGAACCTTAACTTTCATCATATTTTACAAAACATTTCTGTTTCTGAATTTGACAATTGTCAAATCAGTATCAGTGTAAATTTGAGGCAAGATGACCATAGCACCAACTACTTATGCATCCTATTACCTCTAATTATTGTCCCTCTTTTCCTCTTTCCCTATTGATGCACCTTTCCCCCCTGATTTCCTCATACTTCCCCTCCATTAGTTGGACATCATTATCCCACTTTCTAAAGAATTTGAAATGAGAACTAAAAATCAGAGGTCATCCCTTGCCGAATCAATGCTAATCTACAATAGAATGGCCAATATAAAAGCATGGAGGATTTGAAGTCAACTACTACTCATTGGACAAGACTTAATTCAAGCATTTTGAGAAGCCATGGAAATTTATGGCTATAATAAAATCAAAAGGAATCATTACACAAATCTAGCAGTTAATATTGAGCTAATATTGTGCAGAAACGCTTACCCAACTTTACCTCTCCTTGTTCAGTAAGTAGAATGTTACCCCCTTTTATGTCTCTGTGAACCTTGAAAATGGAGTGCAAATAAGAAAGACCCTGGATAATAAAAATTGAAATTTCAGCACTCCAAATCTAAAATATTTTTGCTTTAAATAAAAGGGAAAATAGCATATGTTTGACACAAGAAAAATGGGTAATTAGCATTCTTGAAACGTTAGTCTCTTGTCACTTGGTAGCATGAACTGGATTAATGCCATCCTATTTAATACATACATGGCATGGAAAAATGAAAGGATGTAGAGGGACTTTATACATAACAGAGGCATCAACAACTAAGTTTCCATCGATTATGTTTGAATGGTACATAGAAGTCACAATGAGCACATGAAGGAAAATGTGTTTTTCCAATGGGATGGTAACAAGGTTTTGAGGGGTGAAGGATTGCAATATTATACGGATTGATGTAAAGCATACAGATCAGTTTGCTTTTGGAAGGACCATTGGGATGGTGTCTCCTAGCGTGAGTTGTCATTTGCTGAAGCTTTAGCTAAAAGTGGCATTTTTTATGATAGAAGATGAAACATATATTGGCAAGAAAATCTCCCAGATTCATATTCTTAAGATGGACTGTGTAGTGTTATTTTCATATTCTAAATTATTTTCCAGCACAAACATGCTCCATACGTTCGAGCACTCTCTCTCCTAAGCCATTCTATTTGTGGTAACATACTCCTACTTAAACAAGCTACACCATGCCACCATCCAGTCCACATGTTCAATCATACTGTGAACGCCACAGAGCAAATTTCCTCTTCTCAGAAAAAGCATCTTCCCCATACCCAATCCACATAGCATGCGAGCACGCTATCCATGAGATATCCCAATCATGCATCCAATTAAATGTAATAGATACCTTTCATCCGACTACGAACTCATCATATTTTGCACACATAGTCAATAAGAAATTTCCAACTGAGAAAGTCCAATGAGGGAGCAGTCATCATAGAATGAGCATAGAGCTCCTTACCAACTTTAATACTTTTGAGACCTGAGCACGCCCTGAAAGCTAGAATGAAATAGTTTCTCAACATGTTATCCACTATCATTCGATGAAGCATTCGCAAGTCAACATGATCGCACCCACTATGTGTGTATGCAACGAAATACAATGCATAACATGACATCCTTGCTTCAATGCGTACTCAAGAGCTTAAAGGCGTAATCGATATGCCAAAATTTGCCATACAATTAGGGCACTTCCTGAGGGGGTATTGACCTCTATCTAGAGATGCAAATGCTCCCATACACCTGCTTGGACTAGTTCAGTATAACATTGAAAACCTTTCCAAAATATTGTCAGATGGGCTTTCAGACTGCTATAGTTCTCCATAATGCTGTTTTTATCTTGTTCCTCCACATCCTCAAACCATCTTCTTCCACTTCTTTCCCACAGTTATTGTGATCTTTCTGTATTGTTCCTTTCTCTCACCACAATCTATTGTCAACTGCTAGTTACCTCCTTTCTATTGATGTCCCCAGCCCTTTTGCAAATGTTTCTGACACAAAATCTAAAGAGAGAAATGAGAAACGAGAGAGAAAAAGAAGAGAGATATGAGAGATGTGAGAGAGAGCGAGAGATATGAGAGACGCGTGAGAGAGAAAAGGTTGACGTAAGGCTCAAAAACCAACTCTCATTCACCTCATAACTTTATATGCTATTTTTTGAAAATATGTTATTGGACAAAACTGCCCATACAAATATGTTATGGACAAAACATATTGTATGTTGGAGCATAAATGATTTTTAACACTCCCCCCTAGACATGGGCCCTATAGACTTAGGACACTTAGATCCTAGGATTTTAAGAACAAATGATTTTCAACACTCCCCCTCAAGCTAGAGCATAAATGTTGCCCATGCCCAGCTTGGAACAAATTGTTTGGAACACATTATGACCAAGCCTTTTGGTGAAGATGTATGCCAGATGATCCTTAGATGTCGCATATGTAGTAGCCATCTGCTTACTAGCAACTTTGTCTCCAATAAAATGACAGTTTGCTATAATATGCTTGGTCATACATGAAACACTAGGTTACTAGCTATAGAGATAGTAGCTTTATTATAGCAATACATCTTCATAGGTTCAACAACAGTAGACCCCATCTACTGCATCAGCGTTTTTAGCCGAACAAAATTCGCACATAGTATGTGACATCGCTCTGTATTCAGCCTCTGCACTAGATCTAGCCATAACACTCGGCTTTTGCTTATCCATGTTACCAAATTTGCACCAATAAATGTACAATAATTTGTGGTAGACCACCTATTAGATGGTGAACCTGCCCAATCAACATCCGAGTAACTTTCAATGGCTAAATGATTATTTGGCTTGTAACTCAAACCACGACCTGGGGCTCCCTTCATCATCATCATCAAAGCCTTTTCCCAACTAATTGGGATCGACTACACGAATCCTAGTCCCCCATTTTGCTCTATTAAGAGCCATACCCTCCATGAGGCCATAAGTCCCCATATATTTTCTCACCAACTGTGTTCTTTCAGGCCCATACCTTGCCCTTTTTGAGCCCTCTACTTGAACTAACCCGCACCTCCTAACAAGTGTTGTACTGAGTCTACACAGCACATGGCCAGCTCACCTAAGTCTACTTTCTCTCATTTTATCACCTATTGGTGCCACGCCTAAATTCTCCCAAATGCATTTATTTCAAATTCTATCTCTTCTTATCTTGCCACTCATCCATCTCAACATCTTCATCTGACTTAGGGCTCCCTTCAGATACCTTAAAATTCTACGAACTGCATCCCAATGAGGAATCCTCAAATAATTCATAAATCGACTCACAATACTTACTGCAACAACAATATCAGCCCTGGTGATGGTCAGATAAAACAGCCTGCCTACCAGATTTATGTACCTTCCTAGAACCTCATACAATTACCTTGAACAGCCAAGCGTATCCACTGATCTAGCACCCAACATTCCAGTTTCTATCAAAAATTGGTCATGTCTTTCCTTGGAGACAAACTAATGCCATGCTTTGATCTAACTACTTCAATTCCTAGAAAATACCTTAGCTGGCCTAAATCCTTACTCTGAACATATTGCTTTAGATGTCTCTTCGAATGACTGATTCCTTCTTGATCATTGTCAGTAACAACAATATCATCAACATAGACAACTAAAACAATTATTCCAGAGTCTAGTTTCCAAATAAATACTAAATGATCGGCATGACTACGCCCGAAATCCATATGCTATAAAAATTTCACTGAACTTTGCAAGCCATGCCAATGGAGAATATTTCGGGCCATTAATGGCTTTCTTCAACTTACACATCCATCCAACTCCCGCTATACACCTCTTCTTATAAAGTACCAGCGAGTAAAACATTCTTGACATCAAGTTGCCACAACAGCCATCCCCTGTTGGCAGCCACAAATATAACCACTTGAACTGGATTCCATACAACTCCACAACTAGATCACAATTATATAACTCTCAGTCATCCACTCTTCATATCTACTATCAGGTTTACTAGGCTTGTCTTTAGTCAAGTATTTCAGTTCCCCCTTGCAATAAGGGATACTTTGACAAATTGAGCCCATACAACATAATTGGATTCATTTAACTTTACCGAGGTGCTTTGTACCTCTTCATTTTTTAGAAGACTAAGGATTCTAGATTTAATTTCTTTGTCCATGAGCATATAAAATAAAGGGGAAAGAGGACGACAGGATCGGCAAATTTCAATCGCTCCCACAAGCCTAGTACAATGTTAGGAACCACTTAAAGAGGAGAGAAATACTTATATTCCAGATGTAGTCACGTTCTCAACTTGAACGAATTAGGGCAACACCACATTGAACACATTGACCTTCATTAGGCTGCCATTATTAAAACTAGGTCACGATATCTCTGTATATATCGAAAGAGAGAACACACACAGTAACATAGACTAGCAGTAACTTGAAACTGAGTCACGATCTCTTTATAGATTTTGGTCTACACATCAGCATCACCACACTAACAACAGATCCACATGGCCTTCTACACACACAACCCTAGGAAACAACAGTAGGATTTAGATCGAACAGTCCTAGGGTTTTATGATTAAAAAAATAAAAAACAAACTAGGGCAAAGAAGACAGAGAAAGAATGACAAAGATGATAGAGGCAAGTATTAAGGAGTTTGCTCTAATACCATGTCGGAGAATCTAAAGAGCGAAGAGAGAAAAGAGAAAAAGCAGAGAGAGATATCTGAGACGAGAGACAGAAAGAGAAAAGAGAGAGATATGAGAGACATGTGAAAGGATTAAAAATCAATCCTCATGCACCTCTTAACTTTTTATATTATTAATAAAAAATTATGTTATGAACAAAACTGCCAAAACAAATATGTAATGGACAAAACTGCCCAACAAGTTTGTTACGGACAAAACTGCCCAAAGAATATGTTATGGACAAAACTGCCCATACAAATAGACTTAGGAGACTTGGATCCTGTGGCTTTAATTAAAAATGACTTTTAACAGTTTCCATTGCCCATCCTCTCATTTTCTTAACATTCTGTAATGAAAGCACCATGGCATTAGAGAATTAATTTTTTTATAATTTTTAGAGAGTGAAAACTAAGGTTGTCAATCTGTTAATTTATTTTAGTTACCTAAGGGTATTTATGCCTTTTGGAGTTGTAAAGTTTAGTCCTTATTATTTTAGTTACGATTAAGTCATTCTGTTTAAAGTTATGTAAAAGGGAGAGACGGATAGTCCGGCCTTATGGGTGACTTGTTTTGAAAACTTTGTGAAGAAAAGGAAGCCCTTAGAGAAGGGCTACTAGAATTCTTAGATTGATGGCATAGTTAAGGCTTCATGGCACCTCCCAAGGTCTATTCTTTCCAAGTTAATCTTCAAAAATTATTCTCTCCTTTCCCCTCTTACTCTCTTCCTCTCCGTTTATCTCTTTTCTTTCCCTAAATTCTTTCATCCTCTCCTTTCTTTTTCTTCCCTTTTTCTTTTCTTGAATTCTTTAGTATTCTTCCTCATTTCTTACTTTTTTTCTCTCACTTTTTTTTT